AGGACGATGCAGTTTTGACCCTGCAAAGATGAGGACGAGAGAGAGACAAACAATTGCGATTTTGCCCTAGGGTTTTTTTCTATCGGGTTCATCTCTCTCACAACAAGTCATAAGTGAAACAAGTTTGAGTTTTCCGCACTAAAACCGAACCCGGTTAGGGAAACAGCAGGAAAAAGGCCATATCAGCCTATTTTTCAAAGTTGAAAAATCGGTCGATATGACCGATATATCCTTGACATTTTCGACTTGAACTTGAAAAACGACATACGACTTGAAATAGTCCAAGTCGTGTCATTCGAGCCATCAAACCGACATATTGGCCGACATTTAAAACACTGGACTAAGGTGGACCACTCAGTCCCATATTACTGTAGCAATCCCATGACTTACATGAAAAGCGCCAAACGGACCATAATTGAAATAACTTATGCAAATTGTGGGGAAAGGCTTCTAATAGCAATTACAATAATTTGAGGTAATAATTTCAAAAGAACTTAAAAATTTTAATGATTTGGCGGACAAAGTTGTGAAGTAACTTTAAGTATTAGGAATCTGATAACAACTTCAATGATTTGAGAGACTAAGTTCAAACTATGATAGATTTAAGGGATAAATATTGAAAATACACTTACAAATATAAATATGCCAAAAAAGGGTTCATATCATGTGCATTTGCGCATCTAAAATTTCTAGTTTTGTGTACAATTTAAGGATTTGGACACCACAGTATTTGATCACTTGTTAATCTGAGCGGCATTGGGGTCGATTGATAGATCGAATGCATTGTGAAATCGGATTTTTTTTAATTCTTCTCTTTCTCCCTTTTTCACATCTAGCTCCCTAATAAAATCGTTGTAGGCATTTTTTTTTGCCATTTCATACATAGAAATCTATCAGGTAACTGAAAGAAATCTATGTACTTTATAGGAAATGTTTTTTCCATGTGCAACAGAGACCACTAATGCACCAGTTAAAAGAAATGATAAGTTTGTAGTTAAAATAGCACAAGGTGGACAGAGTAGGCCTAAGTGAAATTGGTTAGAAGCAATTTAGAAGATATGAGAGGGATTAACTTAATGAAGGAGATAGTACCTATCAGAACTGAATAGAATAATAGAATTCATGTAGCTGAGCATGGAATTTGAAATAAAGACTTTTGTTGTTGTATGAATAACTATGCAATATTGTAGTGCAGGATATCGGTGTATCTATTCCTCGTACAAAACAGGAATCAGTCCTTAACAAAACTAAATGAAAGAAAATTATTTATGTGGATGGCCACAAAATTTGGAACAGAGACTTCATTGCTGTTGTGCGAAGAATTTTGCAACGTTGCAAACATAAATATCACTTATCTATTTCACATATAAAACAAGAGATAGTCCTCAATAGAACTGAATGAAAGAATAAAATTCATGTAGATGACCCAAAAAATTGGAATAAAAACTTTGTTATCGTTGTATGAAGAATTTTTGAGGATATCTGCTAATCAGTTCCTCATATAAAACAGCTAGGAATGGCAAGCGGATTGGAAACTTTATGTGGTCAAGCCTATGGTGCACAACAATATCACAAACTTGGAATCTACATGTACAGAGCTATTTTCTCACTTATTCTAGTTTGCATCCCCATCTCTTTCCTATGGATCACAATGGAAAAGCTTCTATTATTCATCGGCCAAGACCCTCTTATCTCAATCGAAGCTGGAAAATTCACGTTATGGATGATCCCTGGCCTCTTTGCCTATGCCATTGCTCAACCTCTGATGAAATTCCTTCAGTCTCAAAGCTTAATTCTACCGATGCTTATAAGCTCAGTCACAACTCTGTGCATTCATATTCCCTTGTCTTGGTTTTTGGTGTTCAAATATGACTTGGGTATTGTTGGAGCTGCTTTATCTATAAGCATATCATATTTGCTGTATATGTTTATCCTTGGATCGTATATTATGTGCTCAGTTTCTTGTGAACCAACTCGGTCCAAACTCTCAAAGGGGGCATTTGGTGGGATTAATGGGTTTTTGGGAATAGCTTTTCCATCTGCGGTAATGATATGGTAATGTTATCCTTCTTTAGGTTATATGTTAATATTAATCATGTTTTCTTTATTTGAATCAGTTAATGCTGATAGTTCTTTTGTTTAATTGATCTTGTAGTCTTGAGTATTGGTCGTTTGAGCTGCTCATATTGATGTCTGGCCTCTTACCAAATCCAGACCTTGAAACTTCAGTGCTTTCGATATGGTAAGAAACAGTCACTTCTTAGAATTTGATATATTATTAAGATATAGTGTATGTTCCAGAAAATTCCTAAACTTTCGGGTTTTTGCACATAGGCCCCTAAATTTTCTAAATTAGAGAAATCTACCCATGACTTTTGTTTTCACTAAAATATGATGCCTCCCAGGTTGCTAGTTTAACTTGTCAATTTTTCACATAAGACATGCTTTAGACAATTTTGCCCTCATCTACAGATTAGGGTTGATAGATACTAATCAAGAGATATAGTTTTGGACCTTTTAACCTTCATGTTAACACCATTTATGACAATTCACAAGAGTTAATGGTAGTTTTCTCTAAGTTAGAAAGTTTGAGGGATTGTGCGAAACCACCCACAGTTGGGGGTTTTGTGAAATTTACCTTTAAGTTTATTTTTGACTTGAAGTTTTGAAATTAATAACAATTGAATCTGATAAGTTCTTATCGCTATTTGTGACCTGTTAGCATCCTTAAATTTAACTAGAATACCACACACACACGTGTATGTGTGTGTGTGTGTACACATGTGTGTGTGTATTTATTTCACATTACTTTCATTTTGTTATGCAGCCTTACTACTATCTCCTTAATCTACAGCATACCATACGGGCTCGGAGCTGCGGCAAGGTACTGAAAACTATAACGTGTATGTAAATTTTCATGTTTGTTCATGTATAAGAAGTGTATTAAATGTTTTATTCTGAAATCTATTAGCACAAGAGTATCTAATGAACTAGGAGCTGGAAACTCAAAAGGAGCTTGCTTAGCCGTTCGTGTTGTGATGTTTATTACAGTAATGGAGGCTGTTATAGTGAGCATAGCATTATTCTCTACAAGGTATGTGTTGGGTTATGCTTATAGCAGCGAGAAGGAGGTTGTTGATTATGTCAAGGCAATGGTCCCTCTCGTTTGTCTCTCGGTGTTCATGGATAGCCTACAAGGGGTTTTATCAGGTTAGATTTTATCTTCTTGTGTACTTAGGTTAATTATGAAACACACTGTTATGTATTAGTTATTGTAACACTGCTCTTGTTTGATTTCTTGGGCTTTTCTATTCACTTCAATTAATAATTTGACACTATAAGGAAAACAATTGTTAAAATGTTTAAGAAGCAAAGAAAACAGATAAAATGGCTGATTTATAGGTCCTATATTGATTTGAATTTCATGAGTTTTGCAGCTTAAATAGTGAAAATGATGTATTTTATGAAATCTTATTGCATCCCAGTTACTTCATTTAGACAAATGTTATTACTCCTATAGTTGTTATAGATTCTCTGCCATCAGCCATTAGTGCAGTTGATTCCTTGGCAAAATATACCATTGGGTAATTTTCTATTCATATGTGGCCTTAAGGCATCAGAAGCTTGAACCTTTTGGGTAAATTAGTTTTTCGGTAAAAATAATATATGTATTAAAAAATTTATTGTCATAACCAATAGAAAGCGACATTAGAATAATCATGCACAAGAAATTTACTATTCCTTATCTAAATAATTTGACTTACTTTCTTTTCTTTTTGTAGGGGTTGCAAGAGGATGTGGATGGCAACACTTGGGTGCATATGTCAATCTCAGTGCGTTCTATCTAGTAGGAATCCCAACTGCAATATTACTAGGTTTCAGATTTCATATGAGAGGAAAGGGACTTTGGATTGGTATACTCGTTGGATCTACAGTACAAACGATCCTTCTTTCATTATTAACTATTTTCACAAATTGGCAGCATCAGGTTTGTTCCTCCTCAGTTACCAAAATTTCTTATATCCAAATTTTTTATACTTTATGTATTTTCTGACTCTTTTTAGATTTAGTTTCTTTTTCAACAACTGAATCAAATATTAACATTCTCTCAGCTACTTTGAATCTTGACCGTAAACTTTGTTGTTGTGTCATTTTGAACATATTGTAAGCTTCAATTTTCTACATCATATATCTCAATTTTCTTTGGGTTTTTGATTTTTCTGTCAAAACGTCAAACTTATACTTATCGTGTTGATGTATACCCTTCAGTAAAAGGCATAGAAGGGCTATAAGTTTATAAAAGAAGGAAAGAAGGGAGAGACCCCTTAAGATTCTGATTATTAGATTCCGCTTTGTTTTTCCTTAAATTATATTAATCTCCAAATGTTCCTTTGATAGAAGACTAATCTTGATCTCAGAAAACATTACACTTTGTTTACCTTACATTATATTATTGGATAGCAATCATGTCAAGTTCTGATCATTCGCCCCTCGTGAGAAACTCAAACTTGCATGGTTTCCAACAACTTTTTTACATTTTTTTTTTCTTTTTGAAAATGTAGATCAGTTGCCTCAAATAGCTAGTAAAAACATTTTTTTCTGTGTAATCTGACCGTAGACTTTTTTTTATTGTATCATTGCATATGTATTAAACGCCAAATTTATATTAGTATATACCATGTCCCAATTTTCTTTTGCTATATGTCCCACTTCTTTGTTTATATTAAAGTTGGTAGATATATTACAAGGAACTTGAAAAAGTAGTAAAAGGTGGAAAATACGTTTATTTAATAAACAAGAAAAGAACTAAATGTATATGATTTTGATTATTCTATTCATCTACAAATTGACTTGTGGACTGATGTATTTTGCAGGCAAAAAAGGCGAGAGAACTAATTACTAAGGAAAGTTCAGAGAACTCTACAATAGAAAGCTTACTGAAGTGAAGGTATACGTACCATATTGGTGCACTCTGAGGATGAGTTTCTTGCTTGTAAAATGCGAGCAGTGCAAGCGGCAATTTTGGCAAGCTTGTGTTTGTGTTGAAATTGTAAAAACACAATGATCATGTAATCATAGTGTATTAGTTTTGAGTAGAGTATGAGAGGCTATCATGATTTTTTATGTTCTTTCTGAAAACTATCATAAACTTGTAATTATTGAAAACTATCAAGAAACTTCCTGTTGTCAAATAACATTGCAGTCCAATTTTAGCTCTTTTGAGTTTGTTAAGAATGCCACCCTTGTCCCTTTTTTTTTGGGGAAAGTGAAGAGCGCCTTTTGGGGGAAAAAGTTGATTAGGGACTTATTGTTGTATATGCATTTTCTTAGTGAAGCAGGTAGGGAGCTGTTGAATTTTCAAAAAGAATCTTGTGTTGATGTGTCACTCATAATGGAATCTGTTCTTCTTTCTTCCATTATGATTATTTCTATTATGATCATAATATACAAAAAATTTGGTCCTAATAACCACGAGGCCTTGAAATATTTCACGTTACAGGTTTCTTTAATGATTGAAGTACAGGCTGTTATTCTATTTCTTGATGGTTTGTTGGTAGGTTAATTTCTATTAAAAAGTCAATGATTTTGGTGGGATTTTATTTTTCCTTTTAGTGTGTGCATGAATCTTTCTTCTTTCGAGAAACGAGAGGGGGAATTCAGCAAAAGTTGTCAAGGAGTAATTACTTGGAAGAAACAGTCAGAAAGAAAGTTAGAAATCTCATGGAACTAACTTGTATGAAAGGTCAATAGTTCGATTTAGTGATTCATATTTGGTTATCAATCAATTGGAAGTTTAAATGAGAAATAGACGATGATACAATTGCTATTATGCATTAGTTCAAGATTTCTAATTAAGTTCATTATTATTATTATTATTATTATTTGACGTAACTCTTTCTCATACTTTTGCAATTATACTATCCTCGTTTTTTTTAAGTTTCATCTAATTTTGAGGTCAATACAGGTTCGTTTTCATTGGAAACTTAGCCAGCTACTCTTCCACTGACTACTGTTAGTTGCTCCCAAGATTGTTGTCATAGGATAAAATAAAATAAACCTCACATATTTTACATAACGTTTTTTTCCTTCACTTGTATACATCCTTAATCTTTAGCAATTTTCAAATTATCTTTCAATCAGCATATTATTTTTCATATACACACAAAATGTTTTTCTTTTTCACTTGTATAGTTGACCCACTTTTAGCACAAACCGCAATTAATACTTTTCAACGTACAGAAAGTTATTGAAAAATAACCATATAATTCAATATTCAAAACACAACCTAGTGACCTACTCCCTTAGAAAACAGAAGTATAAAAAGTTTCCATTTGGTAAAAAACAGCTTCACTGGCATCATCACTTATTAATTTACCAATAAAATACATGCAGTCCAAAGCAACTACTTAAATTATTAACAACCCATTGTGTGTTTGTTTGTTCAACTATTTAAGCCCTTTGCACAAAGAATTCAAAAGGCTGATCATTTGCAAAGGCTCAGAGAAAACATGGGCTATGAAAGAAAGCTAATGAGAAACGTTAGCAGAGTTGAACCTCAAAAGCTAGGACTAGCTTTCGTTGTAGCATGCTTTGTTTTCTCGATGGCCTTTGTCTCTGTCACAAAGCTTGGTAAATTTACAATTCCAATTTAGTTTTCATTTTTTGGATTAATGTTTTAAATAAAATTTATATGTTCTTCACTTTTGCAGTGGGACTTCGGTTGATGAACCCAATTCAGGCCATTATAGTAGCTAAAGACTCTGGCAATCCCCAGTTATCAGGTATTTTAAGATAACCTGTATCGAGAATTGGAGGGAAAAAAATATTTCTCTTCTTATCGACTGATTGATAGAATTAAGGAAGATAAATATTGTATGTATTAACATACAATATATTTATTTATTTATTTCAATTTTTTTGAGAAAAGGATGGAAGCGAAATCCGAGGACAGGTATGTTTGATGAGCTGAAATAAGAAAAGCCTAAATATACGTTATGATTCTATACCTTGGAGGACTACTTGTTTTTATGGAGATATATAGATCCTTGGATTTTTCTTCCAAGTTTAACCAGTGAAGTTTTGGGACAATCACGACGATAGAAAATAAAGACTTTTGCTGTTTATATGCTAGTGAAACTTGATATTGCTATATGTAGAAATATAATACTACTGCTATGGAGTTGTTAAGTAGGTATCATGTGTTTTGATCCTAAGTTGACTATGCTAATATCAAGCATCTTCTTCAACCTACAGAGAGCAAATTGAAAATCGATTTGAAGGTCCAAAACAATTCTCTGACTCAATCTGAATCTTCAAATCAACAACTTGAAGATATCAAAGATTTCAAGCAACCTGGTAATCCTGAATACCTCTCATAGTAAAGTCTTCATGGGTTTTATTTTGTCTTGCATAATTGGATGATCATTTGGAATTAATGAAACTGAGATAAACCATACAGAGAGAAAATCGAATATCGATTTGAAGGTCCAGAACAATTCTCTGACTCAATCTAATTCCTCAAATCAACCACTTGAAGGTACCAAAGACTTCAAGCAACCAGGTGATCCCGAAAAACTACTCACAGTAAATACTTAAATGGGTTTAATTCTCTTGCATAATTGGATAATCATTTGGAAAGAATGAAACTGAGATAAACTATATATTCGATTTGATTCATATGTCTGACTTTTGCCATAGTAAGGATGAAATTTTGTCCTTAAAATTAAATCAGAATCTGACTTAGAAATGTGTCTGAATTGTGGTTATTGTCAATATAGCTTGATCTATACTCTTGACATGTCAACAATAACACTAATTCAATCAGTTATGTTTGAAATAAAAGTCATCATGAGCATAATTCTCTTACATTTGCAGTTATTTTGTTATGGTACAAGATTACATTTTTTTCTATAAAATCCAGATTCACTTGATATTCAAGCCCTTCATATACATGTCTATGAATTGAATAAACCTACTTTACTTAAGCCCTTATCATTGTTTCAGATGAAATAAATCTGCAAGAGATATCAAAACCATTATGTGATTTCTCCGATAAAAGATCAGATGTCTGCGAGATACAAGACCAAGTTATAGTCCATGGAAATTCTTCATCTGTCTACATCATGAATCCAAAACTACAAGAGTCATATACAATCAAACCCCACGCTCGCAAATTTGATTCGACGGCAATGCGTCGAATAACAAATATATCAGTGAAAGCTCTCTCAAACTATGATGACCCCTTCAAGTGTGAAGTCAATCACTCTATCCCTGCAATAATATTTTCCACTGGGGGGTTTACTGGAAATATGTTTCATGAGTTCACCGATGTGATCGTGCCTCTCTTCATTACTTCAAGAAAATACCATGGAGAGGTTCAATTTCTTATAAGCGAGACTCGCCCATGGTTCTTTATCAAGTATAAGCCATACTTAAAAGCTCTATCTCACTATGAAATCATCGATTTCAACAAGGAGGAAAGAGTACATTGCTATCCTAATGCTGTTATTGGGCTCAAAAGTCATAAAGAAATGAGCATTGACCCGTTAAGATCCCCTAATGGGTATTCTATGGTTGATTTCGCTCAAACAATGAGGAAAGCTTACTCTTTAAAAAGAAAAAGTGCGATAAAGCTAAAAAATAGTCAATCTAAGAAGCCCAGGCTTCTTATCATAGCAAGAAAAAGGACAAGATCATTCAAAAACATTGATGAGATTGTACTAATGGCAAAAGGGTTAGGGTATGAAGTAGTTGTTTCTGAAGCAGACGTTGGGCTCGAAAAATTTTCAAGAATTGTAAACACGTGCGATGTGATTATGGGAGTGCATGGAGCAGGGCTCACAAATATAGTTTTTCTTCCGATGAATGCGATAGTTATACAAATTGTTCCTTTGGGAGGATTGGAGGGAATTGCTAAGCTTGATTTTGGAACACCAGCATTAGATATGAAGCTTAATTATTTACAGTACAGTATAACTGAGGAGGAGAGTACACTTACAGAAATGTATCCTAGAGATCATGCAGTGTTCAAAGATCTCGGTTCTATTCAGAGACAAGGGTGGATGGCTATAAGGAAGATATATTTGGATCAGCAAAATGTGAGTCTTGATGTTAACAGGTTTAAGGGGTATTTGGAACAAGCACTTCAGTTTCTTCACCAGTAAGAGAATATTGATTGATTTTTTATTTTGGGTTTTTTTTGCCCTGATAGAATTGATATTTGTTTTGTATAGATTATGAGAGGAATTGATTCTTATTGAGTATACATTTTTTTGACATGTACATTTATCTCTGTTCTCTATGAATGAAACATACAATACTCTCTGTCGTTTAGTTGCATTAGTATCATGATATGTTGGTATTAGACATTCCATAGGAACAAATAACTGATACACGCAATGTGTTTGAATAGAAAAGCTCAAGATTGTGATGCACTAATACCTGATATATTGATAAACATATTAAAGCCAATTCTCTTAAATGGTATGAGTTCAGTTCAGTTCAGAAAGAAGCAATCATCAGAATTTGATTGTCTTTTTATGATTCCTTGGTAGCTAATTGAGACAAATTAAGTGCTCTCCAAACCTTATGCTACACCTCATTAACTTTAAAACTATTATCATAAACTGATTTTATTTCGAATAAGTCTAAGTTTTGATGTGAAAAGTATGCAAGGAGTGACGAAAGCAAACCTAAAAGAGCCTGTGCAATGTTTCTCCCTCTATATTCCTGAAAACTAAGTGCCTTCTGATCTCTTGATACGAAATAATAGATTTTGATAGAGATAATCAAGTACATTGCTTTACTCGTGCAATTGTGCTTGTCTAAAGTTGCAGAAGTGCAAAATTTTTAGTGCAATGGCAGAAGTTCTGATTTTGCTGCGAAACTTTTATTTGCCTTACGAATATGTTAAAGCATTCTTTTCCTTATCTTCTTTGCAAAGAAATTCAATTGTGCATACTTTTTTGTACCATTTCTCTTTCATAATTTTGAACTCAAAATCATGTTTCTAGCAATAACAAATTGATAATAGTTTCTTTTAACCCTTTATTTTCTGAGAAAAAACATTGTTAGCCCAATTAAATATGAGGCAGGTTACCTAAGCATGTGAAAAACTCATTATTTTTTGAGATGACGACACTAGAAGTTGTTGAACCAGATATAGTGTCACAACTAAACAAGGCCATTGTGCTACACTGTCATGAGGTGTGACCACTTTGATATAAAATGCATAAGATGATTAATTTAAGAGTCTCCATCTAATAACTCAGAGTGACTGAATCAAGACAAAATCATGAAAATGGCATTGAATTGAAATTGGATCCTTACCTTCAATTTCTATTTTGACAGTAGAGAGACTATTTTTTGAACCACAACATCCTGTTATTCTAGAAATGTTAATTTTCATTCTATATATAACTATAATTATATTCTTTGTAAATTGTATTAGTTCTTACTTTTCACTCCACTAAATAATAAATGTTTTTAATTGAATAAATAGTTCTCCTTACTGTCTATCCCAAGTAGTGAGGATCTGAATCTGTTAGGTAGGGCTCCTGTAATTCAAAGTGCGCATGTCATTTAAAATGTCTAAACATAAGTAGAAAAATCAAAAACAGTTTCCACATTTTGCATTAAATTCTTGGCAAATGGAGAAATTGAAGTACAAACTGGACCACGAGGAAGCAACATCCCTTAAAATTTTAGTGGTTGTTGAAGATTTGTCATTTTCGTTAAGGAGTTGTTGAAGGCCTTTGATTTTTCCATAGGAGTGTACCTGAGCAAATAGTTGTAATTTGCTTAAGTACAGCGGAGAACTCCCTAAAATCCTATGGTGAGGGTACTCTACAGAAAATAGTAGGCAGTAAGGAGACCACAACAGTACAATACAAATTTTAAAGTTGGTGATTGAATTGATACAGTAGTATTATTGAACTGATACAACGTTAGTAGTATACCGATATAATATCCTGAATGTATTAGTTTAGAATTGATACATGTGTTAGGATCTCCAGCCTCCATTTATGATTTTCTTCCCAAAATTTGAAAAAAAATTACTAATGAAACTTAGGCACATGCCAATTAGTAGAAATCTGCCACATATATATACCATCATGCATGAGAGAGATTATAGACAAAATCTCACTCTAGCTGGACACCATGTATTCCATGTGCCCAATACAAATAAAAGCAACAACTAAGAAAAGAACCTGAGTTGGGACACATACACGTTCCCATGTTTGAATGTAGTAGTAGTCTTAGAGTCGTGTAATCAAAGACACTTCAAATTTAATTAGATATCCACTACCAAAATCATCTTAATTATGTTATTAAATTGTGTGTTCTTGACAACTCATACACTGAGTTTCATGTGACAATCCTACACCCCTCAAAATTTCAGTAAGAGATTCTGTATTCATTCTCTTTAATTTCCAGTAATTGAGGACAAGTAATAAAACTTTAGCAAGTGTTAAATACTCGAGGGTCTACCTATATTAAGAGCATTGTTATTGGAGATTCAGATCCTTATAATGCAGCCAAATTGGAGATATCACCTCTTTAATCATAACCGTCAGCGATCTAATAATCAATTACGATTTGTTTTTAGGAAAAATATGAGTAGTAAAATTCATGTGGACTACCATGTTAGTTATACAAATGAATCAACCATATAGCTGTTTAGATATTATCTATGTTTATGATTAAACCTAATTTTTGCAACCATACTTTTCTAATGAACTATGACTTTCTACCATAAAGTAAGAAAATAGAAAGCTAGTAACTATTAGGTATATATGGTCAACTCTGTAATGACATGAACTAGCAAATCAATTCTGAAGAACATGCATACTTCTCATTATTAAAGAACTCAAAATTCCATCAATTATTCTCATATAAGTTGAAGTTTTTTAATTATCCACTGTCTGAGAAGAATCTTGGTTTTGTCTAGTAGTAAGTGCATGTTGGCACGTCCCTTAATCAACATAGCTAATAAAATACTCCAACAACCGTGTTGTAGTTACATGTGGATAAATTAGAGAAAATACCCTGAACTTTAGAAAAGGTTTTGCATAAACCCCTAATCTCTATAAACTATAGAAAGTCTACATTTACAGTAAGTGTTACCCTTGTCTGCTAAATATACTTATGATATTATTCTCTCTATAAAAGTAGGTAAGAAGTGAAAATGATAGTTCACACATTTTACTCTATACCCGTACTAATGTCGTCTGTAAGAATTTCCAATAACACACGGGGGGTTTTAGTATAATTTTAAAAGCTCAGGGGATTTCCTATGATCTACTACGTTTAAGGGATTTTTGTGCAAAACTTTCTTGTGAAGCTTACCGTTCAGAGTTCCTTAGATTAATTGCGCTGATGTTCCAAGGAGCAGTTGGAATCGTATTAGGGCCTGGACTGGACTTTAGCAGAGAAGCTTAAATTCTTCACCATCTTCTTCCTAGAATGGGCCAACACATGGCTGCTTCCAAAAGGAGGAGACTTTGTGCTGTTGATATGCTAACCACTTCTAGACTTAAACCACTAAAAGAGGAGTACAACAGCTGGCCCTGTCTATAATAATTCACCTTATAGTATGAAAATTTGGCTAGCAAGTGGTATATATTTTCTTTATAGCTTATTAAACTATCTTACCTCAGCCAATTCCATATTGGCTTAAATTGCATTATTATTTTTTGCAGATTTAATTAATGTTAATACGGTTTACATACATATACCAAGATAGGCAAGTACCAACCAACCGGTTGAAAGCTTCAACTCGTAGTTGCTTATTTTAGAGATCAGAGATCTAGGACTCAAGAAGAAGTTACATAGCGACTCAATTGAGTCTACCGAGTTCTTCGATCAGGGGGAAAATATTTTATATTTTAACTACATATATTATACTTGTAATTAGGTGGAGTGAGGGTGATGTTTCTCCTTACATAATCAGCAATTCAAAAGAGTTCAAATAAATATCATCAATTCACGCCAAATGCATCATCATATTTAACATGTTTAGCTCAGTTATTTAAATGCATATAGTTCTAATTTAGACAAGCATATTTAACATATATCTCATTGTTTCTATCCTTTTGGCTAATCACTCTCTTAGCTTTTTTAAACAATCTATTTATTTGCCAAGGGAAACAGATTAGCATAACATATCATATCGCGAAACATTGTTTAACATCGTAAGTATGAATAATACATGCTTGTGCAATCAAGAATGCAAGTAATTACCTTAAAATTAGGGTATACGGTCCATGCTTAGCGATCGAAAAGCTCCTACCATGTGATGACATATGTTAAGTTTGGGCATTAGGTCATCTTATTATTCCCTATCAAGAAAAAGAAGTATTAGGGTTGTTGAGCTTTCACAATTATATATAACTGAGCAGTAGTAGGTATAAAGTTTATAATACTATGCATAAGCTACATGATTCAAGTTGTGACACGAAGTGAATTCACAAAGAAGACAATAGATATCATGACAAGAGAAGGTACAAAGGGTGCCAAAACTACAAATAGTCAACTAAAGGGAGCTTATATCCCGACCACTCTCCTATAGAAAAATGCAACACACCCCATCATGCATGGGCATCAATAAAACATGGCTAGCTTCTTGTATTTCTTCATATAAACGCTCTCATATTGTTTGAGTTATCTCTTCCTCATTCTCTTCATGAAGACAATTCAGTAGAGTTTCATCTATATCTTGCCTCCAAATCTAAATATGCGGTTCGATCCAAAGTTTGTTAAGAGTTTTAAGAGCTTCACCCCCGTTGAAAACCGAAGATTTGGATTAGGGATTCTTGCGGCGCTCGTGCTCTCAGTCACTTATCTCTCACCATCGGCATTCTACTCATTTCCGTTGTACGATGGTAAGTTCATATTTGAAATATATAGTAGTTCATGTGATAGGAGCTTTGTTTTCGTATAATCCTAATTATTTGGGTTTCTTTTTTTTGCAGTAAATTCACATTCATCGTCGATGAATGCAGCTCCTACAAGTCAAATGACACCTGAATCAATGACTATGAGCAATGTAAATCAATCAACCAATGCTTCTGATACTACGAAAAGAGATCATAATGGTACTCAATTGCTTTTAGGTAAGTCAATATATTTGAAGTCATTTGGTTTTTGTCCATGATTTAGTTATCCTGAACTTGTTTACTTGTTGCGGGGAAACTTACAGATTCAAAGGATGGTGATCAATTGAAAATTCTTCCTGATATCATGGTGTCAAATAATTCTCTTAATTTGACTCGGGAACAGGTTGCAAGCAATTCAAAACTGTTATCAGGTAATTTTTCGCAAAACTTACCAGCAAAAAAGTATCAAACATATAAAATCGCTTCATTTGCAAATTGAGAATTTGTTCTTGTTACAGGGAATAGTACAGCCTCAGATGAGAAATTTACCAAACACAACGATCTCAAAATCTCTAAATTGAAAATGGAGGGAAATTCATCGCTTTCGATGAGTTCTTCTACTTCAAGCAAAACTACTAATACAACTCAGATACTACTTCCAAGCAATTCAAATTCAAAATCAGGTAATCCTCTGTCAATTTGATACACTGAGCATTGAAACTATCTGCATTGTGAACTAAAATGTTGCTAATGCTACAAATTTACTATACACAGTTACAGAGGACACAAAACCATTATGCGATTTGTCGAACAGAAGATCAAACGTCTGTGATATGTATGGCGACATCAGAATCCACGGGAAGTCATCTTCCATAGTTTTCGTGAAACAAACGTCGCAAAGTAATGAAACATACAAAATCAAACCCTACACTCGCAAAACTGACCCCTCAGCAACAGCTCGAGTCACTGAACTAACCGTCAGAGCATCCAACGAGAACGAAACTCCTCATTATTGCACTCTCTACCAAGATATCCCTGCAGTAGTGTTCTCAGTCGCAGGATACACCGGAAACTTCTTCCACGACTTCACTGACATCTGGGTCCCACTTTTCTTGACATCCTACCAGTTCCAGGGGAAAGTCCAGTTCCTGGTTTCCAATTACCGTTCCTGGTGGATGAACAAATATCGTCCTATAGTCACGGGTTTATCGAAATACGAACCGATTGATCTTGACCATGACGATCGAGTCCAGTGCTTTCAGCGTGTAATCGTAGGCCTCAACACCCACGCTGACCTAAAAATCGACCCATGGAGATCGCCGGGTAATTATTCGATGCTGGATTTTAGGAAATTCCTTCGAAAAGCGTACTCACTTCCGCGAGAAAGTCCACTTACGCGAAACAAGAAGAAGAAGCCGAGGCTTTTAGTCATATCAAGAAGCCGGACACGAAAATTCACTAATCTCAAAGAGATCATAAAAATGTCAGAGAAGCTAGGCTTCGAGGTGGTGGTGGGCGAGGCGGAGCAGAACGTGGCGCGCTTCGCGCGCTTGGTGAACACGTGCGACGTCCTGATGGGCGTGCACGGCGCGGGCTTAACAAACTCCTTGTTCTTGCCTACAAACGCCGTGTTCATCCAAATTGTTCCCTGGGGGGAATTGGAGTGGATAGCAAAGACTTTTTTTAGGGAGCCGGCTAAAGGAATGGGGCTGAAGTATTTAGAGTATAAGATTGGGTTAGAGGAGAGCACACTTGTAGAGTTGTATCCTAGAGATAGCCCTTGGTTGAGTGATCCTTTGAGCTTGGCTGGCAAGCATGGATGGGCTTATGTCTCAGAGATATATCTTAGGAAACAGAATGTGAAGCTTGATGTTAAGAGGTTCAGGCCTGTTTTGGTCAAGGCATATGAGCTTCTTCATGAAAACTAGGAACATGAAGCATGTATACTTTTTTTCTTTTTTTTCTTTTTTCTTTTTTATTTTTGGGAAATTGGATGGTTATTTTGTGGTGGTATATATAGATGGATATCCACATTGCCATAATCGTGTAGTCAACTAGACATTAATGAAGAGCTCTCTTCTGCATTTGTAATCATGTCTTATTGAGTACATGATTGTAATTTGTGATGAACAAGAAGTGAGGAATGATGCAAGTTGAGGGAGATATAGTGTTAACTAAATTACAAATGAATCATAACAATCTAGATATTATGGAATAATTGTAATTAGGTTGTTTATAACTCTAAACAGAATCAAAACAAGTCACAAGACCATGACTAGCGTTGTTTTTTTCAGGATTTTGTGGAGAAATGATGTAAATGATTCAATATTTAAAGCTATCTTTATTAGGTAATGCTCAACACTTTCGCAGCTGTTATCAGTAGTTAAGCCTGGATGTAGGAAGTCAAATTCAAATCTGTACTAATTTCCTAATTAATTATCCGTCACTTTTCCATTCCCAAAATTTTCTCAAAATTTTCTAAAATCTGCAAACAATAAAATGTACTTTTCCATTCCCACTTTTGTCTTGTTTTTTTTTTCTCGTTTTTTCTTTTATTAAACGAGCTTGTAGAATCAGGCATACAGTCCAGCAGTTGCACTTAATGAGCTCCTTATACTTTTATTCCTTGGTCAATTTCTTGTGATACAAAAAAATATTACATATAGCAGCACCAACCAATCTGATTTAAATAATTTTTTGCACTAACGTGGAGAACTTTTTAATCATATTATCCAGCATCTACTGTACGATTAATAGTTTATGTTCAGTGAAAAATAGCATGAGCAAGCATCGATATTGGTACATAAACTCTTCAATAGTTTGAAATTAGTTCGTCATACAATTGAAAGAAGTACCGTTAGGTCCTTCAAAATTTTGCTAGCTCTTTCAAATTGAGCTCTGTTCATTTCGTCACAAAATTGAAAGTACCGTTAACTTTTTGGAAAGTGTTTCCAATTATACCCCTCCCTATTTATTTTAAAACTACTTTTTTAGACGAATATATACATCCATTTAAAATAAAGTCCCCTTGGTCAAAAACAACACAAACAAACTTCCTTGTTGCTTCTGTCTCAATGATTGAGCTAGCGAGCAGGTGAGGGTTAAGGTTGTCACTTATGTGGGGCGGCTACAAGTCCACTTCTACCTCAATAAATTATAATTACTACATTATGATTAATCATGAAAATAAAAAAATAAGCATGTATTAGCAAATAAATAAATAATACATGTTTTAGATGCAAAGGGGAAAAGGGGAAAGAAAACCATTAGGCAGCCTAAATGCTTGGCTGGATCCTGTGGGTCTGACTTGTATAACCCCAAACGTTTGTTTTGTTAGTGCGTTTGAAATCATACTTTTTTTTCTTCGTACCCATATTTGGACATGAGTTTCTTTTAACCCCATTGGACATTAAAATTACAACTAAAAAAAGGTAAATTTCATAAAACCGCCTTAAGATTGAGTTTTTTTAGATGACCACGCTAACTTTCAAAAGGTCATAACACCCTCCTTAGGCTTTGGGATTCTCAAAAAATCTTCTTCAACTTTTAACGTTTTTAAAGAAACCTCCCTAACAGCGTTAACCTTAATTTTCACATGGTGGGAAAATTATGCAGGGAAATATTTCTGTTCTGGTGAAAATTCATGCGGTTCACAATTTTTAGAGGGCTTTTTTGGTAAGTGTGGAAAGTTGAAAGGGGTTTCTGAGAAACCGAAAACTTAAGGGGGGTTTTATGACATTTTGCAAGTTAAGGGGCGTTATCTAAAAAAGTCCCAAAGTTAGGGCTGTTTTGTGAAATCTTTCCCTTATATATTTCATGTTGGACTTTTTACTTTACACTATATCCCATAGAACAACAAAATTCCTCAAAATACTAACGTTTGGGGAACATTAATATATAAGTTAATTATGATGCATTTAAAATGGATTTAGTATTTTTTTGGTAATATTCATATACAATATGTTCAATATTATGATACGCATGCTTTTGGAAATTTTCATAATTATTAAAAAGGTATATGGGTCTAAACGAAATCAATTTTCAAACTTTGGGTACTCATGGCCGACTCCCCAAAGAACAATCTTTCCTTCGCGTATACTAGTTCTCAACATGTCACATAGAAAAAAAAAATTCTCAGTTTGGTTGTTAATATGTCCACGTTACAGAAACTATAATTAACCCAATTATTTATTTATTGTTATTATTACTTTTGGCACGTTATTGCATGTCTTGATTCTTGACAATAGCTAGCTGCGAAGTTTTTCTCATGCAATGGGAGTTGGTGATCCAATTAGTTATTAAGGCTACAACATGGGTTTGGTGCAAATTGATCTCAAATCAAGAGAAATCATCTCTTAATACCTAATCTCATAATGATCCTTGATAAATTAGTCCCATACTTGAATGAGGGAAAGACATGACTGTTATAGGGTAATGGGTTTGAACTTTAAAAAAAACTGATGTGGGAAAAAAAAAGGCTACATGTTATGACTTTTCTTGGATACCCCACTTTAGTTGTCAATTATACATATTGCTTTCACTAGCTAGGATGGAGTTCCTTGAAAGACTAACAACTAATACGGTGATTTTGATAGGGCTGTCCAAAAAGCCTGCGATTCGGGCCCGGCCCGGCCCGGTCCA